TTTCCCTTACTGCGAGCCCTCATGAGAAAGTCAGCTCTGGGGAGGAATATTTGACCAGTGGGAAATGAAATTTAAGATACGTTTTGGGTAACCTCAGGTGGGACTGAAGTGTGAGCCCTGTGATCCGAATCTTGTATCCCAACTGTGAGCATAGGGGTTGGCCCCAGATCTTATATCGATTCAATATTAACTCTGCTGACTGAATATTTCATCAGATCAGGCAAATCTGCCTCATGAGAGGATATTGTCATGGGTAGAAGGGTTGAAATACAGTGACTGTGTTAACAAACAGGTGGTTTACAAGCTCTTTTTGGGCAAGGATTTCATATGCTTGTGCAGTGCCTCACAGAATCACAGAATGGTTTGGGTTGGAAGGGACCTTAAAGACCATCCAGTTCCAACCCCCCTGCCATGGGCAGGGACACCTTCCACTAGACCAGGTTGCTCAAAGCCTCATCCAGCCTGGCCTTGAACACTTCCAGGGATGGGGCATCCACAGCTTCTCTGGGCAACCTGTTCCAGTGCCTCGCCACCCTCCCCGGGAAGAACTTCTTCCTGATACCAAATCTAAATCTACCGCCTTTCAATTTAACCCCGTTATCCCTTGTCCTGTCACTACAGCCCCTTGTAAAAAGTCCCCCCAGCTTCCTTGTAGGTCCCCTTCAGGTATTGGAAGTGTGGCCTTGGCACGAAGAGCAGAATAAATGCCTAATAATTTCCATACAGTCAGTGTCATTATGTATGCATTCTGAAACTGTGCAAGTGCTAACAGGTAATCAAAGTATTGCAATCCGCTCCTGTTCACTAAGTCTTTATGTCTAAAAAGAAGTTTAGTTGTCTAAAAAGTAGTTCAGTTGTCATCACAAACATACTGTTTTTACAGAGGAGCCATAAATAGTCACTGCCATAAATTTCTAGCCTGGAAAGAAGAGCCGTGAAAGTGAGGAGGGTTTCTTTTTGTTGTCATTGCTTTTGGGAGCAAAAGCAGTAATTAACTATCTATATGTGATAGCCCAAATGCATATGTGTAGCATGATTTGAGATGGGTTGCTCCTGTACTGCCAGGACTGAGCCATGACTCCTCAGTTCTTTGCACTGGAAGTTCGGGCAATGGAAGTCTGTGCAGATGTGGGTACAGGCTTTCTGTGCTGCAGCGTGAAAAATAAGAAGCACTAGAGCAGGGCTGGCAGAGAAGTGAAAGGAAATTCATTATTTTGTGCTAAGGAAAATTTCCTCTGGTTTTCAAACTTCGAATCTCTCAACTTGGTGTTTAAAAACTGATTTTACTATGTTATGTTTAAATGAGGTGGAAGGTCTATTGTAGTCACAGATGCTCCATTCCATTACGAAGGGTCTTTCCTATGGCCTTGTGAGTTGAGCTTTCTTGATTTTATGTGAAAAATGCCTCAAGGAGTACTATTTCAGATGGCAGTGAAGGAAAAAAACCTACATGTGGATTTAGAGAGAGATCACAAAGGATGTTTTGTGACTGTTTTAGTACATGATTTTTTTAAGTCAGGATTTTCTTTTTTTCAGCAAAATACACATTTCCCATGTGCCTGCATAAACCCTGTTTTTTTTTCTGATAGAAGCATGCAATATGGTTTATGATGTAATATTTATGTATAAGCTGTACTGTGCTGTGCTCTTTTGAGCCTGCAGTCTTTATTTGAAACCTGGCCTTTCCACACTGTACTCTCCCCCAAAATGAAGAGCAAAATAATTGTTGTAAATACAGACTGAACAAAACCAGTTGAAGGATTTGTTGGCTGTTAGAATCATGATAGGCCAATGACAGGGGGTTGGAACTAGATGATCTTTAAGGTCCTTTCCAACCTAGACCATTCCATGATTCTATGAAATTAGCCCGTACTTAGAGTGAGTTACTGTATTTTAATTGTCCTACACTATTTGAGAAGCAGGTAGGTGTCGGGGCACTTTCCCAGGGAACAAAACTGCACATCTCTGATTTTTTCAGAGGTTCCCTTATGTAAAATACATGCTCCAGAAGAATATGGGTGCTTGGTATTCTCAAAAGGACCCCAAGGGAGGAAGTTCGGCCCTCCTAAACTGTGTGTCAGCAAGAATTAAGTCTCCAGTTATGTTTTTTCTGCACTTGGAAACTTCTTCAGTTTCTCAGTGGTGATTAGGTACAGAGCAAATATATCTCAGGCTAGCGTTTCACTAAATGCAGTACGGATCCTAAACCTATTTAGACTTGGATAACTGAACAGCATTTCTGGCTTCCCATTCTCAGGCACGTGGACAGAGGACACGTAAGATGTTCATCTTTGCACGCCTGTGGGACACCCTATGGGCTCGATTTCCATGCCTTTGCTTGGAAACAGTTTCACGCTCAAAGCAGCGTTAGGGATGTTAGCAGGACATGTTAGGAGGTGGATTGACAGGCTCAGTAAGAAGCTCAAGAATTCACTGTAGAATTGTTCAACTGCTTTCCTCTTCAGTGGAGGGGGGTTAGCTGTGTTGTGCTAGAGTTGGTATTGACACAGGGTGGGGGAGAGAATTTGGCGTAGTAAGGTGGCTGCTGAGGTATTGCCAGTGAAGAGGTTCAGAAGTTGCTTAGCAATAGGTAGAGGTTTTATGTGCATCTAAGTATATAAATGTTTATGTTGTATATCTAAAACCCTATTTTACAAAAAACAGGGCAAATGCAGTGTCACTTTTAAAAAGAATGGTCTAAGTGATACCATGTAGTCTTCATTATCAGTGGAGCGTGTGCGTACACGTAAGATGCATGTGCATATATATGGTTCTTAAACTGGGAGACTGGCAGACACGAGATTATCTGTCAGCGTGTAGTTTGGCTGCTTGTGTATATGTGTGATTATGCAGACTTGGGTCGCCCTGTAAGCATAGGTCTTAAATACTATTAATCACCTTAAAATCTGTTAATAGGAAGGAGGGCAGCGCTGACATGGTTTGCTCAGAACTTGGGAGAAGGCGAGGGAAATGATAATGCTGGTCCCACGTAAATGCATTCAGCGCCTGCTGCCTTTCTGTCAAGCGCACGTTAAATGACTGTACAGGGACTTTTCCAGTCAGGTGTTTAACGTGCGGGTTATCAGAAGCTACAGCCTTTGGGATGTCAGGCTACAGGGTGAACAGGCCCCAGCAGGGGGGCGGGAAGAGGCGCAACAGCCGTATTTACACAGCGGCCTCGGGGCCTCAGTCGCCATCTCTGTCTGTTGCCGGTTATGTTCCTGTTCTTGTAAATTTTTTCCATAGGCCAGAGAGTATTTCTTCCGATAACAGAATTCGGTGTCGGTAGGTGACTGATTTCGGAGCAGCGGCGGGAGTTACTGGGCAGATAGGCCGAAGAAGCCGCAGACCTTGCCAGCCGCAAACAGAGGAGGAGTTGGGTGCGCCGTGAGTTCCCGCCTGGCTTTGGTTGGGTCCGTTCATCGGCCACACCAGGCCGTGGTGTGTACCGGGGAGGATCTTGCAGCATGCCGAGCAGAAACGCCAGACGGGTCTGCTCCCGCTGCTCTCTTTGCGCGGGGCAAAGGCGTCTCCTGGCAGCCGGGCTGGCAGCAGCGAGGCTCCGGGCGGCTGGGCGAGGGGCCCGTCGGACCCTCCGCTTGCCCTACAGCAGCACCTAGTGGCCCGCCTGCAGGTTGCTGCCCAGGAATCCCGGGAGTTGTGGTGTAGCCCAAAACCGGGCTCTTGTACCGGTTGCCCTCTTGCCGCACTGCCCGGTGCGGCGTTGGTCCGCGTGGGAGGTGACCCGGGGGCTGACCTTCACCTTCCTTCGGTGGGATCCGCCTCAGGGCAGCTTGGGGAGGCTACGGAGGCATTATCCTTGCGGTTCCTTCTCTTCGGGACCGAATGGTTATCTTCCGTGCCATGGCGCCTCTGTGCAAGGTGGTATCGCCCTGGGTGTAAATCAGAAGTGGAAGATACCTCGGTGCAGCTGGGAGGAGGAGAAGAAATGAGGACATGTTGAGGATGCTGTATTATGGCAGGAAGTGAGACGGATGCAGTGGTATGATCCGTGCATCCGTTCCCTCCAGGAATTACTTCAATGCATTAATCAGGTTCAGCCTGGCAGAGGTTCGAAGTCCTGGAGATAGTATCTTTCCCACAAGTCAGGAGTGTGTCGGGAGCGGCAGAACAGAAGAAACAAGCTCAAGTTAGTGCTTCTGTCAAGCAAAGGCAACAGCATAAACTCTTTTAAAGGTAACAGAAATGGATAGGAAAAGTATAGTTGTTCCAACCACAAAATCATCTCTGGGTCAGTGGGTACTAGCAATCCATCCTTTACACACAAAGCCGTAGGAAGCCGAGCTCCGCGCCTTCCGCAGCTCATGGCTCCTGTACAGCAAGGTGAACAGACAGCAGCAGTGGTACACACTGTGTCTGCTGCAGGCCTGCTCGTTCTGTGGGGCTGGGTGCTTAACAGCCACGGACCCGGCTGCTGCCTAAATCCTGCACGTGCGTTTGCTGGTGAGCGCTGTTGGCGTACTTGTCAATGCCAGTCGACGTGCGTGTATTGGTAATAAATAGGAGAAACAACACATTTGCATTGAAGTGTTTTAAACAAACTGAAATTTCATGAACAATTTAAAGTGGTTAAGGGGAAAAAAAAATCCATCCTGTTACTTTTCCTAAAATCTCACAAAGGCTTCTTCCTTTCTTCTGTTTCCTACAAGCCATGTTACATATGTTATACTAACAGTAACATATGATTCTAGGAGTTACACGTGTAAATCATTTACACTCGTGACATTTAATAAATGTATCATATTTTATACAATTCCCTTACAGAATGATGCTTGATTAACTCATTTCTGGATGGTAAGAATAGTACGGCTAAGCTCTGTGTTAATTTGAGTAAGGCAGCTGGTTTTGAACAGTCATTTATTTGTATTTTGATTTCAGAAGTTAGGACTCTTTCTTGCACTTTCTCCGAAGCAGCCCTAAATGAATGTTTAGGTACATGATTTGAGCAATTTTAGGCTTGTAGTACCCTTAACTGGTTATTTTCATGCTGTCTGGTGATTGGGGATTATTTTTCTTGGAAATATTTCTGTCACTTAGCAACCCTCAGTGTTTTCAAAAAAATTTATTTAGCTTCTAAGTGATTTTCATATTCAGAGTGGTGGTACAAATTACAGATATAGCAGGACTGATACCATCACTAATACAAGGTAGTTGTGTGGACCTAATATCATCAGTTTGGTATTCTGTTGCATAAAACTCTTTTGAAAAGTTTGGAATTTTAAAAGAAAGTAAAAACCTCTGTTGTTTTTGTGTTCTGTCTTTTTAGGTGATTTTCAAATCCATTAAAATGGGTGCTAAACTACGTTTTCACCTATAAATTTGATTTAACCTGTCCAGGACTGTGAAACATTCGATTGTTCATCTTCTCTTAAACACTGCTTCTTGTTACTGCTGCCTGGTGTTTTGTTTTGCTCACTGTTGTTCTTAGCTTCAAAGAAGCACCTTTTGAGGTCTTATTCTGCACACTCCTTGTTTCAGGTTTCCTCAAGTACCTGTCAGTCTGATGCAACTCATTCTACAGAAACCTGCCAGAAGTCGTCACTGTTTCAGTTTGCAGAGGTGAGTCCCTTTGAAAAGGGTTGTCTAGCCCAGTGTTTTCCTTTTAAGAAGCATCTAAAGTTCAGCTGAAAGAGAAATCAAAAATCTTTAACTAAAATTCATGCTTTTATTTGTTCCTTTTGTTTGTTTGTTTTATGGTACTGGATCATTTATCAGGTAGATGGGTCAGACTGGAAGTGCAGGAGAGTGTGTTCAGGAACATGGTGAAAACTCTAGTGCAGTAATGGAGCTGTGGTTTTTCTGTAATTTAGAGATCTGTCATTCCTGCACTTTGTTTTAAACTGGAGTCTTACTAACTATAAGTTTTAGCATGTATATTTGGATGTTGCATTATGTCCCCTATCTGTTGTGGCTGCTCTAGTCATTGACTCCATCAAAAATAACTAGTTCTGGAATTTCCATAATTTTATTCTGTAACCACCAAATAGCTCTGTGCAACTATCCTTTGGTTTTGCAATGTACAACATTTTTGTCAACGCGTTTCCGGTTACTGCTAGAAGTGCAACTGTAGTGTTCTGTGGGTTTGGGTTTTTTTTGTTTTGTTGTTAAAGTATACACTACTTCATCCCAAGTTTTCATGGATTTCACTGGCATGACTAGCATGACAAGAGTGAGGTTGCAAAGAACCCTGGTCCTCTGCAAGCATCACTTGCATCTCTCCAACTTTTGAAATCATCTTAATCAAGTGACGTGTAAATATTTAACTGTATAGATATTGATTGTACAGGATGCTGGGTGGTGTTTGAGTGAGTGCATATGGAAAGAAATTTTGTCATAGCAGAGGATTCTTTTTACTCCCTATTTTCACACCAGTCGTGAATCTGACTCCTGTGTCTTTAATACTCATTCCTGTGTACACCTTCATACTCCTCCCTAAATGTCATTGGTTATGGAGCAGGTGCATTGCAATCCTAGCACACAAAAAATGTGAAATTTGTTGTTGGTTTGGTTTTTCCTTGTTTTAACATCAACCCACAAGACCTAGAGGTCCAGTTTAAGATCAGAGGCTTTCAGAATGTATTAGACATAAAGCACTGGTTCTTTATTTCTGATGAAAGGTAATGGCCAGTGAAGTACCTAACACTAGGCTCTTAAACAACCTGCTGGCTTTTCTTGTTAGGAAGAGGAAATGCCTGGTGTGCCAGCAATGAAAAGCAGTACTTAGAAGCGTCTTAAAATTGGTTAATTCCAGTGTCACTTATGATACTCCTGTGGTAATAATTCCTCACCCATCTTCCAGTATTTCTAAGGTGCTTTTGCTTACTTCCGCTTTCAGTTGAGCAATGTCATACTCTGTACAGTTCCTCTTCATAACGGTCTGCTTCTTGAATTTCACTGTGAAGTCTTTGTAAGAGTAAGACAAATACCAGCTCAGTTAATTGTTTGAGTTCATTTTTCAGTGCCCAAGCGCAATGTGGTAGGAGGCAGGAACTGTGGTGTGGGCTGCAAGATACGCTCTTGCTCCAAGGGCTTGTGACCCTTGGCTTTTCCTTACGCATCGAAGAACAGCTTCAGCAAGCGCCAGGGAAGAAGCCCATCTGCATTGCCAGCACGGGCGGTTTAGAAGTAGCTCGCTGGTGATGGGCAGTTAGAAATGCAGGTTCCCTGCTCTTGCTTTTCAAGGATGTTAAACAGCCTGTAGTGAGGCTGCACCTAACCAGTGCACGCTGGGTATGTGTGTCAGTGGCAAACTAATCGGTACTGGTACCAAGGTCTAACAACCAGAGGTGTCATTTGCAACAAAAATAATTGACACAAGTTAAACAGTATAAAATGCAGTTACCTTAGCGCCTGGGACAGGTGGTATCTCAAAGTGCCTGCGCACATTGTATCCCTGTCCACGTTTCACCTTCCATGCTAAGTAGCATTTTGTGTTCTGTCAGCACCACCATTCTGCAGTCTCAGGTCTTCCACTGAGCTGTGAAATACAATATAGTGTTAAATTGTTGTTGCTAACCCTCTTTTGACGTATCAGTGGGCAAATAAAAGCCCTTCAAAAAAGTCTCAGCCTCTCCTATTGATCCTAGGAAAGATTTTCCTCGTGAAAAAAAAATTCAAGATCACTATTTCACAGATCACTCAATTTACGTGTCTCCTGGAAAACAAGTCGTGTTCTTTGGATGGTGTGCTGGGACTGGTCTGCATGCTCTTAGGTGCCAGGAGTCTTTCTGTATGATGGATCAGACATTTAGCACATTGAAGTTTGATATTGAAGAGTTAGGTAATACAAACATAATTGTTTTCCTGACAGATCTCTTCAAGCACATCACAGCCTGGAGTCCCAGGAGCTGTAAAACAAACAGAGGAGTCTGCATTGTTTCAGTTTGCCGAGGTATAATGGCTAAAATACGGTGGGGGAGGATGGGAGGAAGCAAAAAACCAGTAAGAGTTGTCACTGAGTGGCTAAGCACCCTGTCTTATAAGGGATTCCCATGAGTAGATGTTTATCTTCATGACAGCATTGTGTTAAGAAAATCACAGGGGGAATAACCAGGGATTGGGTGAGATGTTGGCCAGATCTACCAGCTGTAGCATACACAAAAGTTACTGGGCTTGTGAATATTTCCATACCAAAGGACCACTGCAGGTATCTTCTCCAAATGGTCTTTTAACTTGCATCTGGGAAAACAACAAATAAAAGACATTCTGAAATGACACTACACGCTGCCTGTGGAAGAGGCTGCAGCAGTGCAAAATGGCAACTCCCCAAGAGGCAGTTGGAAAATAACCTTGCAGGTCAGAGGAAGCTTATCACCACAGCTACGAGGATATGTAACAGCATCCTTAGGTGGTGACTTAATAAAGCCTGTAAATTACTCAGAAGTATGTAAGCTATCCTCCTTCCTCTACGTATTGAAGATTTGAAGTTCTTGAAGATTGCTTTTAAGAATTTCTTTTCCCCTGTGTTTAATGTGCCTCTCTGAGTTGACTTTCCACACATATACTCTTCTTGCCCATTTGGGGGAGTCTGGTACTGCTTGCAGAATCTGTTACGCCAAAGGTATATATTCAGGATGTGTCTGAAAAGACTGGGATTGGAGCTGGTGATATTGTGGAGGAGCATAACGGGATTAAAAAATAGCCTGTTTGTTACTGTGCGTGCTTACAGAGGTTTGATAAAACACGCTTCTTTGTGTGTTGGGCTACTTGTGTACAGTGTGGTTTTAGATTGGCTAGGATGGGCTTTGTTATATTTCTTAGGAAGCCTGCTTAAGAAAAAACAACTTAGTGATTCAGGTGCCATAAAATACCTGTCTACAAACACCCTTATAAAAGATACAGTAGAGTAAATATCTCTAATCATGACCATGTTTTCATAGGTGCTACCTTTTTTTAAAGTTACAGGTTAATTTGGAAAGTTCTTTGGAGAAAATTAATGGAATTGAGCAGGATGAAGCCATGTGCTGAAGACAGCTTTTTAAACTAAGTAGAAGATACAAGCTGGGGAATACTTCTTGTGCTGTGCATTTTGTGTGCAATATTTTGCACAAGTGAATCTGCTAACTTAGTTTCAAAAATCTTAACCATTTTATATTTTAACCTGCAGTTTTAGATATCTGCAGAGTTGAGCAGAGTATGAATTGCCTTTAGTACAGCATTTTCAAATTGTCATGTAAAACCTGACTTAGCCACGCTTTCAAAACTTCACAGAGCCTAAAACCATTTCCTCTCCTAATTGAACAAACAACAAAATGATAGACCTGAAAATTGTCCTACGGATGTGACAGCGCATTGAATTGCATACCACTGCACTGAGCCAGCTCATTTGGCACGATGGAGTGTGTGCATGAATCATCAAATGTTCGCTAGAAGAGGTGTTTAGAAAGTTGATTAGAAACTGGAGAGGACAGTCTTATAGTCAGGGTTAACCTTTTTTTCTTGCAAAAGTATTAAAATTTGTGTGCGATCTGGAGGGGGTTGTATTTTTTTATTTATTTTTTTCATCGTCTGGAAATCAGGGACAGAAATCTGAAAAAGCAAAAAAACCACTTCACACCCAAGGCCATGGCTATTCCTACTGTGTTATATTATTGTTGTGATACCTTAATGGCAGTGACTAACATCAAGTTTTATCCATAGCAGTAGAGAAATGGCATTTTTTTAAGACTGCAATCTGATTTCATTTAGGTTATTCCAGGGGAAAGTATTGAGCATGCTACAGAAACTCATTAAGCTTTCTCCCCTGCAATTAAAACTGCTTGTGCTCTTTCAGATATAAGGGCTTTTACTGGCACAGGGTGTCTTTTGTCAAGTTTGGCAAAAATCCCGTTCCTCACTGTGCCATTTCTTACTGGGTCCTGTCTATATGAACACATGACTGCATTTAGTAAACTGAATTATGGCAAGCGATTCACAGTAGGCTGCTGTCAGCAACGTACAGTGCTATGAAAGAAAAGAGAGAGGGAGAGAAAGTAGTTATTTAGCCAGTAGCCAAGCAGACCTGTGAAGAAATGTGAAGTGTGCTGTGGTGTGATGTGCATGGAGGCTTTTGGCAGACGTCCCAGCTCAGTTTTGGTTCTGGCTGGGTGTTCTTCATATGTTCCCTTTCTCCTCGTCGCCTTTGCGGCAGGGTGAGTAAGAGTGCCTCTTTGTGAAGACAGCAATCCCACTGAGTAGTCTTGTCGTTCAAAATGGACACCTTTACCCCAGGAGTACAAGTCCCCTGTCACTCAAAACAGCTCATGTGTAGTTGTAGCATGGCATTCATTCTTCTTTACGGCCCCGGTTAGCCTTTCCTCTGTTTGTCTGTCCCAAGTGCTGTAGTCTTCAATTAAAGCTGTCGCGGGTATGGCTAATGAGGTCTGCCCAGTGACTTGCCACAACGGTTAATGAAAATCCCAGGAGTAGGACTTCGTTGGGCCCTATGGGTGCACAGGCAAGTACCTTAGAGGCCTGTGAAGATGATGTGCCATCCTGGGAAGTGTTTTTTTGAAATTTGGAGTGTTGCCAAGTTACGCTCTTGGCTTTCTCGCTCTGCTCTGATCTTGGAAATACTTGGCCCTACTTCTGTCCTTCTCATTTGTACCTTTAGGGAAAGCCATTATATAGGCCAGTGATTTCTGAGCAGTGGGCTGTGTTCCTTAGCGCGGTGGCTGTTTGCAAGCTGTCTGCTTACATGGGCTGGTTGCTGTCATCCTCCTTGCCATGTGAGGGAAGCAGAACAGATGGGACCCCTTGCTCTCTTGGTCTTACTGGATGTGTGTTTGGCAAACGCGAACAGATGGTGATGACTGCTTCGTAGAAAAGAAACACAAGTACCTCTTAGGTTTACCTTGCTGAACTCTTATCTGTTATTAAACAATGACAGTGCTTCCTGAGAGTGGAAGCAATACAATTGCTGGTTTATCCATCTTAAAAACAGCATGGAGCCAAACCCTACAGATTCTTCACTTTCATCTGCTTTATGAAGTTTTTCTCTGGGTGATTTAATCAAACAAACAGTCGCATGCAGCATGCAACAAGCTGAAATTATCTTTGCTAGACCAGCAGGTTACTGTGATATAAGAAAAATGCGTGCTTGAGGACGAGTTTATCCCTGATGCATTCGCACATACTCACTTTGAGTGTGCCTGTGGGCAACCCTTTCTGTTTATTTCTCTGCTGAACAGAAGGTTTGAATACAAAACTTTTGGTCAAAATGCCTTGAAATGGGGAGCGTGAGAGCTAGCCAGTATCGTCTCTTCTAGCCTTCCCGTAGGTAAAGCTGTACTCTTCCCAGGTGATGCCATTATGTAAAATAAATTAATATATTTACTGTTTGACTGTATGCTGAAATTATTACATAACCGTAGTGACGTGAAATCCCTATTCAAGGAGAGAAATGAAAAAGTGGTACCATGGCACGTGCTTCTTATGAAAGCTCGAATGTAATATAGTAGCTAAAATGCTGACCTGCAGTGTGTTTTCTTGACAATGAGATAATTTTTTGCCAAAGTGAAATGTTGGCTTCCTTTCTTTCTGTTAGTGCTACAAGGATCTTGCTTGCATTTTTTTAGGAGCACCCATTCTCTTGTCAAAGCAAAATTCTTTACTCTTTCCTCACTTTGTGCATCAGGAGGTAAGGTATGCCTGCATGTTCTCAGGTTATACTTCAGTGTAGGGTCCCTTTTCTGCCATTCATACTGCACTGAAAAAATCATTAGGAGCTGAAAATTTATTACAGTAGAAAGATAAAAAGTTGACGCCATTCAGGCCCTTTTCCTGCAAAAAAGTGCTGTGTCCAAGATCATTTGTTGCAATGGGGTCCTGAGCACGTTCACTGTACTGTCTCAAAGCAAAACTAGGATTTTGAATTTAGTTTAATATTACAAATTGTTATTAATGCACATTCAAGTATTATTCACTGTATTTTAAATAGCTTGCAGTAAAATGGATGCTGTGCATTTTGGGGTGGGGGGGTGGGGTGGGGTTTGTAGTGAATCTCCTTGACAACTGAAAAGTAAACTCTTCAAATAATCTAGCTCAAAAGAAAGACATTAAATAATGAAAGGCTAAGATGATAATTTTTGCATCTGAAAGATCACAGTCATAAGCATGATCTTTGTGATGAGGCAGATGCCACAGACCCAACAGCGCTCTTGTCCCTGACCTTAGGGCTTTTCAAGACTTTCAGGTAATACTACCATGTAATGCCATGCCAAAACGATCACCTACGAGAAATGATGATTAATTCTTGCATTGGTGAACTCATAATGCTGCACTTAGAAGCAAGTCTCAACAAATTTGGCTGCAAAAGCGATTCCCTGAAGTGCGGTGGTAGTTGTTTACTCAGCGCTGGTGCTGGCACACCATCATCTATTTAGAAGGCTAGATATGAACTCCAGACGTAAGGTCTTCGTTCATTTTTCTCACTAAAGAAAGTGAAACAAGCAGTGCCTGTGAGGACAAAAGGGCCTCTTCTATATCTAACCAAATGGGAAATACTGTGCAGACTTTCCAGGAGAATTTTATTTAACCTTGACCACCAGGGTTCATCTTGTTCACTTGGTCACGTAAAACACATAGCATGATAGAATATTAGCTGTGGACAGTACAAATGTAGAACAGAATCCATGAGCCTGCTCTAAGGAAAATTCTGTAATGGATTGTATCCCACTGACTTCTAAGTGCCTCAGGTGTTTCTGGGGTGGGACTGCCCATCTGAAGTAGCGCCTTCTGCTAGAAAGTTTTAAAAGTAACTGGTTTAACTAACACCTGCATTTTTTCATTCATTTTTCTCCCTTCCTTTCTGCCTTTCCTGTGTGCCACTGAAGTATTTCTCTTCTGTTCATTTCAAACCTAGATCTCCTCACATACTTCCCAGTTGTCGAGTCCTGAGCCAGTAAAGCACTGTGGGAAGTCGGCACTCTTCCAGTTGGCAGAGGTAAAGTTATACCCATTAGCATCACAATGGGAAGATGTGTGTATCTTTTCCCAAAACCAGTATTAATTGTGTAAGGTTTGCTCTAGCATTAAATTTAGTATTTCCAGAAGCATAAATTAGTAAATAATGGAATAGCAAGAGAATTAGGCAGTGGCCATGTCCCCAGGGACCTAGCTTTTCTTTATGCACTTGCTAATGTGCATGGTTTGGAGACTGAACAGAAGTTATGCTTCTTATAAGAAAAACAATCCTCAGGGCAATAGCACAGACAAGAGTCAACGGCATACTTCTTCGTGAGATGTGTACCAGGGTTCAGAAAGTAGAGCTTTGGTTGTAAGGTGGATTGCTAATTCAGGGAACAAGAATAAGAAGAGAAAAGTTGACTTTGAGATCATCAGGGATCTATGAAGAGTTGGAAGTTGTAGCAATGTATAAAGCTCTGAAATTGACAGCTGTCAGCAGTAATCAAGAATATTAGGTCAGATTTTCCAACAATCCTAGAAATTCTCTTTTGAGTCTTAAATATAGCCTTGTCGAGCTCTCCTCTTTGGTATGGATGAACCACTCGAAAACCTTTGAGGCTTGGTGTGCAAATATTATTCTTGATGATTGAAAGGTAAAGATACATGCCATGTTCCACGTAAATAAGGAGGAGGATGCTAGCACCTTACTCATACGCTTTTTTGCTTGATTGTTAATATTATTCTTGATGATTGAAAGGTAAAGATACATGCCATGTTCCACGTAAATAAGGAGGAGGCTTACTCATATGCTTTTTTGATTGATTGTTGGTTGGTTCTTTTTCCAAAATCACATCTGTTTTTCGCCGAGAAAAATGATTCTCTGGATCCTATCCAGCCATGTATTCTTGCTGGTGAGGTTGATCCTTCTCTGGAAATAAAAGACAGAGATTGGAAGCAGTGAAAGAAAAGTATTTCATGCCTTGTTCCATTCTACTATCTGACTTTATGGGAACTTACATGAGAGGAAGAAAACCTGCCTTACGCTACAGGCAGTCCCTGCCAGTAGTAGAGTTTGCAGGTATGTGCATTGTTGTCAGCAGTGCAACAGTGATCACACCTAGCTGTGTGATCTGTCATCCACGAAGACGCTTGACTACTGCAGCCCTGGGATAGCAGAAAGGCTGGCAATATTCAGTGAGGGACAGCAGAAGTCTTTGAGGTATCCTCCTACAGGACAGCAGCAGACTTTGAGTAGTGCTGTTCTGGAGTAAGACTGTTGCTGAGGCCAGCCTGTCTTTTGAAAGCCAGCGTTAAAAGTTGTGATGTTGTGCCCAGTTTGGGGGAAGGACGGGTGCTTGTCCACAGGAGTGCAGTTTGTACTGCATTTGGCAGGAAAAAGTGAAATCAAGTCTGGCAGCCTAACGTTTGTGTGTTGGACGGGTTTCTGTGGTTGCTCAAACAGATTCCTACAAGCCTAATTTAATGTACAAAATGAATGTGAAAGGCTCTGGTTCAAACTGAGAAAAGCATGGCAGATGTGCTACGCACATCCTCCTTATCTGTAGCTCTTGCAGGACATGACTGGTATTGATTTTTTTCCAGTTTTGGAGATCCCTGCAATGCTGGATTGTAATTGGATAAATAAAATGAGAAATTCAGCTTAACTTTAGTGACGGCAGTTCAGGACCTGGTTTGGAGCATCCCAAACAAACTGTGTTCATTACCACCTCGAGGGTGTCCTAGGTTTGCAAGTTCGTTTGGCAGAGATCTGTGCCATGCCACTGCAACTCCGAACCGCAGATGCTGCGCACTGGAGGGGACTGGGCTGCTTGTCTCCATGCTGCTGGCATGGCAGGGGTTTGGCGCATGCGAGACTGTCTGCTTCAGCACACCACGCTGCTCTGCTCCTCTTTCATCTCCCTCTGCTATGTGGGATAGCTAATTTTATCTGCTTTCCTCCCACCCCATCCCCCCATGCCTTCCTTTTTGATATTTCGCAGCATTTCACAGATGGTGATAAAATATAATGCAGAAGCGGGTTAAATTATTTTCTGAAAAAATCTGAGAATTTCTAAGTCTCTAAAAATGGCTGGAGCAGCCGCTCTGCAGCCTGAAGCCTGGGAGGCTGGCACTGATGTGCTCTGCCGAGTCTCTTGCTGTGCCTAAATGCAGGCTTTGTCCTTAGCCGTCACTGCGGAGGCACGAGAGTGAAGGGAGGCAGTGCTGGGGGGTGCACACCCACCTCCTCTTCTGCTGCAGAGAGGAGACTTGAGCTGTAATGGTCAGGGTGTAGGAGATGCCGTGAAGAGCTGTGGCTTCCAGGAGATGCAGAGGCAGCATTGTTGACCTTCTTTGTTTAGTTCCGTTTTGGCAGTGATGGGTTGATGTCTGCAAAATTTGACTTTGTGGGCCTGTGTTGGTTGACATCAATGAAAACTGAGTTTGGGAGGGAACTAAAAGGTTGTCAGCACTTTGGTTCCCCAGTCCCTAGAACACCATGTCTTCCTCAAGAAGGAAGTATAAGAAACCTGCAAGCATGATCAGATATTGTGGGATATAGCCTTAAAAATAGAACATTTTCTTCTTTGTACTAATAGCCAATCCTGAGACGGATGATTTTAATTTGTTTAGAAAAAGGTAATTTCTTTGCACCTAGCTCAAAACTGATTCAAAACACTTCTGAAGAGCATCACGGCTTGATGCAGGAAAAAGATGCTGGAGCATAGTCTTGCCTGCTTGCCACACTGCCTCCCGTACTCCGAGGAGCAGTAGGGGTTACCAAAAGCTGGAGGGCTCCCACCTCGCTTTGGTTTCACAGCATCTCTTTTATGAGAGTCCTACAGGACACCAACGGGCAGTGCTGTAGCCTGACAGCAGCGAGCTGTGACAATGAAATGATTTTGGCAATCAAATGTCCAACTGAGCCATCAGAACCACCACCAGCTGGGCTGCGTGCTGGTGTAGATCCGTGCTTAGCCACGGGAGTCTGTGCGCGTGTGAGACAGCACACTTCTTCATCCTCTTCTTCAGAGGGAGTCCTGACAAGAAGGTCCCCAAATCTGCAAGTACCTTTCAGTGTCCAGCAGAATTATCCACTGGAGCAATGGTGGAGCAGGGTTTTATTTATAACAGCACGCACAGGTCGGCACTTCGTTTTCAATATATAGTCTTATGAATGGATTTGGGGAAGAGGAAGGAAACAAGCTATTCAGAAGCTGTGTGGTAAACATAAAAGAATTGTCCTGATAATAGAATGTTTCTGGTTTTTTTCTCCCCCTCTGTTTTTCTTTTAGATTTCTTCAAGTACATCCCATTCGGGTGCTTCTGACTTAACAAAACCGTGTGGGACATCAGCCTTGTTTCAGCTGGCAGAGGTAATATTAAGACACTGGTGACTAATTACTGCAGGTGCAGTGGGGCGGATAAGTTACTGATGTTGATGGCCCAAGTCTGGAAGGCAGAACAGTGCTACAGTTGTAATTACACTGTTCCTTAGAGAAGCGTAAATTATGGTGGCTTGGGTGCCACGAGTCAGGATTTTCCCAGACCAGCCATCAGGTTGGAGGTGTCGAAGTGTCTGTGCCGCAGCTGAGAAGCACACCAGTGCCTGGTGGCAAAGGGACTTCCCGATTACTGGTTTTAGGGTTTGGGGGTTTGTGTGGTTTGGCCAGGTGGGAGGGGTTAGGCAAAGAGTTGAGAGAGGGAGGGCTGGATTGGTCTGTTGCTAACGTTGTGTCATTGCCATTACAAATTCCTGTTAAAGGTCATAAGTTGCTTTCATTTATTTTTGCTTTCCATGCTGCTTTTCATGCCTACTGTTTTTTGAAGTGGGGAATAAACAGGTCAATAACTTCTACAGAAACTCTGCTATGATATTCAGCAATTCCTTCTTCTGGGGACAGTCAAAACCAATGGCCCCTTATTGAAATATATTTCTTTTGTCTCTAACCTCTTTTGTTTAAGCTTTTCCAGTCTTAAAGACTGCGAATTGCAAGTTTGCTTAGAGCTCACAAAACAGAAGTTGCTTTTTTGTAGCCGCATCCATAGGCCTCTTGTACTATTGCCTTCTGCGGAAGGAGCAAAGGTAGTTAAAAAAAAAATGCATTGGCAAGGAATGTGTGTGTTGAATTGTCAAAATATGATTGCTGTCCAATGAACTTCCTTTTAAAGGCTTATCTTTAGCTTTTGAAAAGCACAGGCTATGTTTACGTTGCGGGGCAGTAAAACAGTCACAGAAGTACCTTGGTACCAAGAACCCACCTCAGCATAGCTGTGGGGTTCTCCTCTGCATCATTTATCCTGCTTCCCATTAGACACTGTGCTGCCCAATCTCTGCTCTTTCCAGTGCTCAACCTACCTTGATGTGAACCAGACCAGGAGTTTCCACCCTATGCCGCAAGAATTTTGGAAGCTTACCACAAAGCGTTCTGTCATTGCTGTTATGCTCATACATGTACTGGTGTAAGAGATACTTAGTGTACAAGGGAAAAAATGCCTTGCTGATTGGAGAAATCTAAAAATTGATCTAAAGAGAAACCAGTAATCTGGAAGATATGTCTGTACTGACCACATGGCCCGTGGGCTGAGCTGAGGGATAGGGAAACTCCTTATGTCTGGTTCAAAGCCAGCCTCTTCCATCTGGTTTTGTTCCAGGGGGCTGTTTGGTTGACATGTGTTGCAAAAACAAAGCACTGGGAATTCAGCTTGGGGGCTTTGAGAGGGAGAGTACGAAGAGGAAAGCATGTCTTCCCGAGGGCAACTGCTTGGTGCTGTGGACTACCCTGTAGCAGTGTCAGCATAGCTCACAGGTCATCCAAAACCGAAAGGATCTCCCAAGCCAGTGCTGCAGGAACGTAGCAGTTTGAGGACCCTTTTTAAAGCTCTTTTTTTTTTTTTGAATATCACTGTTCCACAGGCAGTATGAGGGTTTTGGTTTCCATTAATGTTATCTCCAGAAGGAGATAACCATGGCAACCACTGCTGCTTTGCAGTTCTTCGCAAAATAAGTCCATGACATGAGAAGAAAGATTTGGAAGGCTTTTTTACTACCTTCCAAATTATTTTGCACATTCAAGTAAAAGAAAATAATCTCGATGACTGAGATTCAGTTAACTTCCTCCCCAACCCCCTCTTCAGGGCCATTTGGAAAATGGAGGAAAGAACTGTATATAGGGACATTTGGGAGTTGAAGGGGGTATGGATGTGAGATTTCAAGTAACATCTGTGGTTAGTGAGAGATACTCTATTGCTCTGTTCATTTAGGATTACATCCTGAAAATCAGTCTAGCAGTAGGTTTTCCAGATTATATAAAAGGCACTTAAAGGGCCATGGAAACACCACTGAGATCAGTTGGAGTCTCTTTCTCTGAGAGCGGTAGGACTCGCCAGCCTTATTTTAGCCCTGAGCCATCATCACGTCACATCAGTCTCCTGAGGGCTTCAGCATGGTTTTCGGTACTGTCCTTTAGCATTGTTTGCTTTCCTGAACTAGGATGCCAGAGGGATTCCCTGTGTAATGCTCCTGTTAACAGAGGTAAGTAATGTTAACATTATGTGTGTTTCATGGGACTGTTTTTAAACTCATTTTAGATGTGTCTTGCTTCGGAAGGAGTAAAAGTGAAAGAACCTGGGAAAACAAAAGTGGAAGCACTGGAAGGTGTGGGAGGGGAAGTTCCAGAGGATATGGAAGTAGAAGAACTGGAGAAAACAATAATAAAAGACTCCTGTAAAGGAAAAGTAGAACAGTCAGACAAAATGCAAAACCAGGATGAGACAAAAGCTGAGGAATCAGAAACTGCAAAATACAGAGATTTTACTAGTCTTGCAATGGAGAACAGCCCTTTAGACAGAAATGATAACACAAAGGATCACATGTGCTGTTCTCCAGAGCTTTCACTGGCTGACATGAGTATCCTTGGGCTAAAGCCAGAAAAGATAAAGAAGAAAAAGAAAAAAAATAAGTTGGACCGGCACACAAACGAGAAGTCCACCCCCAAGAAACCCTGTAAAAAGAGGCAGTCCTCCGAGTCGGACATTGAAAGTGTAATGTATACGATTGAAGCTGTTGCAAAGGGCGACTGGGGTGCTGAGAGACTGGGGGAAACGCCCCGCAAAAAACCCCGCCCCGTCTCAAATGTGAAGGGAAGCATGTTGGATACAAAATCACCAAAGAAAAAAGTGAAATCGAAAGAGAAAAAAACATCAAAGGAGAAACCCACGGAGACCACCAAAGAATCAAAGCCTCCCGATTTCCTTAGTATTGCAGCCAGCAAGGAAGTACCGTGTGAGGCTTCTGATAACATTAAAGTGGAACCACTGACCCCAACAGAGGAGGTGGTGCCCCAGAGCTTACCAGGACAGGTCAAAACTGAGGACAGTGACTGTGTTAAAAAGATAGAAACCTGTGGCTCCAGGAAATCGGAGAGATCTTGCAAAGGTGCTCTTTATAAAACTCTGGTGTCAGAGGGCATGCTCACATCTCTGCGGGCTAACGTGGACAGAGGTGGGTGGCTTTGAGTGTTTAATTTACAGCATCAACTGCAAAAGCCTGTCTGGAGTGGGAGGAAAAGCAAAAGTCCGTGTTTAAGCTGGAGTTTGAGCAGGGTGTGATGGGAACGCTGTGCCTGGGCACCTGAGATGCGGGGGGCAGATGGAGGGGATGGACACCATGGTCCAGGGCAGGTCCCCCTGAGTCTTGCCGTCTGTGTTCCTACTTACCTCACAAGCTCTTAACCTCTCCCTTTTTATCTTTGACGATCTGAGGGTTACCTTTTGACCGAAGGGTTAATTTGTCAGCCTGCTGATAGGTGTACACAGGACTTGTGTTGTGTATAACCCTGAACAATTGGCTTGTTTCTGTATAAACAACTGTTGTGGTTGTGAGCGTAGTTCTCGGTCCTGCGAGAGGCAGGTGTGTTGTGCGTTTAGTTTTGGTGGCGAGCGAGAACCCTTTGCCTTGTGGAAGGATAAAGTTGAGATAACTTCAGGAAGCTTTCAGTGAGATGTCTTGAAATGTATTTTTCCAATTAGTAGCTTGGTATGTGTAATTAGAACAGTCAGCAACGATGTTTGTAACTTAGGGAAGTTTATTACTGTAAATCTACTCTTCTCTTTCTCTTCTTTCTTCAAGAGATCCTGACTTTGGAGGTGGATTAAAACACAGGGGGGAGGGAGAGCGGGGAGGAAGTGGTTGCCAATGTCATCATTATCCAGTTTAAATACATAATTGTTTTGTAACCCCTTCAAGAAGGTCAAGTATTTTAAGTTGTAGTACTGAATGGGTACAAAAGTCCCTTCTGAGCCCACTGTGCTTTGGAACGTTTTTCTGCTGATGAGAAACAATTTTCTGCCTTCATCCCAGGAAAAAGAAGCTCAGGAAAAGGCAACTCCTCAGATCATGAAGGATGCTGGAATGAAGAAAACTGGGCTTTTTCCCAAAGTGGGACAAGCGGGAACAAGAAACTGAAAAAGCCTAAGCCAAAGGAAGAGTTTGTTTTTGGGTAAGTTGCAGTTTCACAAAATTTTAGTTAGGTCAGCCTGGTAACTTAATGGTGAGTCCTCCTCGTTGCAGCTAAGTCAACTGCATCCAACACCCAAATAATCGTAATTAGACAGAATTCTTGAAAATTAAACGCCTCACTGGGCTGAGTCATGCTCTAGTGACCTGTTGTTTATATACCAAAGAAATTCCTTTGAGATCTTTCCTGGTTTACACTGCTGTAAACAGATTGGAATGGCATTATTTGCTCACTTCTAAAAAAACCCATGCAGTGTTTACCCACTGAAGAGGTGGTGAAGAGGGTTACTTATATTTTCAGAGCACTTCGCAAATCAGTATTTAAAGTTCTGTGTAGGTGTTCAGTCATCATAAACAGAATTAGACTAGAAAGCACAGACCTCTTTGCCTGCTTGGAGAGATTGCTTACAAAGGACGAGTAAACAATTTCTAATATTGGCAAGTAATTATGATAAATATATCATTTTTCCATTGTAGAGACAAGATATTTAAACTGTTCATGCACACCGTGAAGAAATTAAATACATCAGAAAAATAATGAATGATTGCAAATGCATTAAAATTTAGCAAGGCTACACAGAAGTACTTTTCTAGGATGTGAATAATAATTTTGCCAGAGTATTACATATTTATTTGACTGCAGGCGTAGTTGTTAAATCTTCTTAGCCATTCATACTTACTTTCCAATTCTTGAAGACTTTCAATTATCTGAATTCAGAGGGTGAAATGAATTAAAAAGGAGTAGATTTTCCATATTTCATGCTTAAAGTTGTAACGTTTCTTTTGTGCAAGCTTGCGGTAGCCTTTTTTATAACCTAGTCAATGTGAAATTTAGCTGCAGCTCACTTTACAGCAACACTGTTCAGTTGATGAAAATCACTAAGTCTTGTTTGGTTTGAATGGTCAAGAAAAAGAATCTTGTATTTTTAGTGCATTGTATAGAAGTTTTGAAAACATTTGTAGAATTTAAATTGAAAGATTGAAAACTTTTCACACCTGATGGTGAGAAAACTGAATGCATTGTCTAGCCATCTTGTAGCCAAAAAAGAAAATAGTTACGAATTATTTATTTAAAGTAGGTTGGAAAAGTGTGTCCATAATTAATTCATTCGACAAACACTGTTCTACCATCATTAGCTGGCTGGCTGGGGAAGTTTGCCAGTCTTGATTCAGTCATGTCATTAATGAACTCTGCAAAGGCAGAATCAGTAATTCGTGGAGCGTAAGTGCTGGAGAAGGTATCCATTATCCCTGTTCATTGCACTACCTGACCTCCTGGCTACCTGAAGAGCTGATTTTAGCTCTACCTGCTCCTCTAATCTCATTCTGCTCCCTTCAGCATCACCTTTCAGCCTCATTTTCTGTGTGTAGGGGGGAGGGTCCTCCCTGCTCTTGATATTACGTCTTTCTGCCCATGTCCTCTTACCTTGTCCATCAGTAGTTGCCCACCCTTCCCGCAGGTCCCTGCCAGGGGTGCTTTGTCCATGTGCAGCTGGTTCCTTTGCTGAGCAGTGCTCTGCTGCGTGTCTCTCCCGGCTGTACGCCGTGCAGACCTCAGCCCAGCTACGTGTGTCTAACCAGCCTTGCCAGATGCTCTGAAAATTCATGACAATGTAAAGGATTTAATATTTTTAATTAATAATTAATTGCTGACATAGAACAGCAGCACTCTCCACTGCCTCCATCTCGCTCAAGCTGTAAATTATTCCCCAGGATGGCAGCTCATCTGCTTTCAGGGTTGGGCCTTCCTAATTAGAGCTGCAGGCCCTCGTATGCCCTTGGCGCAGGAGTCAGCAGGCGGTGGGAGAGGAGCTGGGGCAGTGGATGGAACTTGGTGACAGCTGTCAGAGCGGGAAGTGGGCTGGTTTGTGGTTGTCAGAGAACATCGGCGTGGAAGGAGAGAGGTGGCAGTACCGAGCACAGCTCGTGTCAGGTATCTGTGATTTAAAAACAAAGCATGTGTGCACACAGAAAAAACCCCAAAACAAACAAACCCCGCCATGCACGCAGTCTGCCAAGAGCGCAGGCTGTATGTTAAGACAGAAGTTTGCTTACTGAAAGAAATAATGATTACAGAGAGAAAATGAAGGATCATTCTGTGTAGCAAAGCCTTCGGCGATTTGTTTCAAGTGCTGCTTCAGGGAGCAGGTTGAAATGCCATGTTTCCTGTGATACTCCCATGTGCACAGTGCATAAGGGCCATCCCTCCAACAGTCAGGCCAGCTTTTGTCAAGTTCAGGTTTTCCGTAGCAAACAGAATTAAAGATTAATAGAAAATGCTGTTGTTCCCCTGTCATTGACGGTGCTATTTATAACCTGCAGAGCTGCACGCGCGCTACCTTTTATTAAAATACAATTCCTTCCTATGCTTCTGCCTGCCTACACACTGGAAGTGGAGGGATTATGCACGGCAGCGTAGTCACTCCAGCCAGAAGTGCTGTGCCATGCCATCCAGTTCGAGTGGTTTGTTTTCATCTGGCTGTTAGAACAATGCCATGTCTGTGGATTTCTGGAGTTGTAGGTAGTCTACCTAGTCATTCAGGTTGTGCTGACGTATGAGGGATGTTGGGTTTCCTGAAAGCTAGTTAGCTGCATTTTTCATCTCACAACAAATAAAATACGAGGGGAGAAAATACAGTTCTCCAGCATTAATGTAAAGCAAATCCCCACTCCAAAGCATCAGGTTTTGGAATATCCCAGAAGATTGAATTGTTTGGCTTTTTTATTCTGATTTGAATTGTTGTTTTCATGTTGGCATAAGGACTTTTATATGGTTATTTTATTAGTTTGTTTATTTATTGGTGTTACTATCTTTTTTCATTCCCCTGACAGAACAGACATATCTCCTGTATGAATCTGTGCAGCAAAGAAAGCTAAATGTCACCAGTAGGACATAGATATTTGCCCCGCCCCGCCCCCCCCCTCTTTTTTCCCCCAATTTAATATATACAACTAATGTTGATTTGTACTGAGTTAAATGCAGAAGCTGGAGTGTACATTCTCATTCCCAAGTTGGATTAATACATACTAGTTTGATGTTTGCAGTGTGTGCATTTCTCTTTCCCCCTCTCTATGTGGATAGGTATGTACATATGCACACGTGCTCCTAAGCAATATACTTTTTTCTCCAGAAACAGAGTTACATTTCATTTGATTGGTTTTGTTTCCCCTTTAGCTTAGCAAAGTTGGAAGAAGAATTTGAAAAGAAATTCAACAGCCTCCCTCAATACAGTCCTATTACCTTTGACAGGAAAAATTCAGCTGTCCCAAGGAAAAAGAGAAAGGTTGGAAGCGGCTCATCTGAACAACCGAAATCCAACAAAGGTAAATGACCATGTGCAATACACTTCTAAGCAACAACAGTGGTATGGCAAGCTCAGGAGTTTATATGTTCTTACTGCTGCATGTGGAAAGTGTGAAGTCAAAGAAAACATTTTTCTAGCGCTGAAGTTAGTTGTTTCTCCCATTGGTTGGGTTTCAGGCTGTATTCTTGACTCCTGATTTTCATGCTGAGCAGAACTGGTTAGAGTTTGTACATGCAATATATTCCTCACAGCAACCAAACTTATATAAATCTTGAATATTTGTGAGGTAAGAGAATTTGACAGGTTTTCCCAGGAGAAAATGGGGAAAAAATGACAGATGATCAAAAGGTTACATTTTGACATTTTTCAAAACGTAGTTTTATGCCAGTGTGCATTTCACTGTAATTTTAGGCTCTGTAAATTAAAACATAATATACCAGAGCTGTCAGAATGAAATATTTGGATCTTTTTTTTCTAATCAGAATTTTAACTCTCTGTCATAAGTGTGGAGCAAAAATGTCCTGACATCATAAAAAAGGGTTAGGGAACAGGAAAACCAATTCCATACCCAGCTTTGTTGCTGAGGCTCTTGGAGGGAGAAGCTCATGACACATTTGGCTGTTTTGTGTACAGCCAGCCTGTGACACAGACGTGATAGAGAAGTGAGGATCTGGTAGGGAAGACTGCTTTTAGACTGCGGCAGAAATACTGATGCCTACATGCAGTACAGAAGCATCACAAGATGAAGGAATGACGGACCAGTAATTCTACAGGACGAAAGGATGCCCAAAGGAATCCTCGTTACGCACAGTTCACAATGTGGAGCTGGTTTCCTGTTCTGCTGCTATGGTAGTTCCACTGACTGACAGGTTTTCAGATCTAATACGGCTATTTTAGCCAGGTGACCCTGGATTAGATCTGTGCCTTTGGAATGCTTCGCAAATAATCACATTACAGTATGCAGGATTGAGCAGCTGTTCTGTTCTGGTGCATGCCAATTTCGGTATTGATTTTTGTATTTATATAATTAGATGTGGAACAGTCACTTTTGCTAAATTAGACTCGTGCTAATAGCAAGTGAGTTCTGATTTCAAATGCCTTTCATTTCTTTTATGGTATGTATTTGACAGAACTTCAACGAGCATGAATGAATTGCTTTACAGTAGGATAATACAGTGGTTAATTAAGGAACATCTGTTGGGAACAAGATCTCATCTACCGCGATCTGGCAGTTGAAGTTGTAATAGCAGTTCCTTGGATTTGTCGCTACAGTATTTGCCTGTTCAAGTGTCTGTATGTCTAAATATTCTGCAGGCCTCCATGTTGTTTGGGAATGGCTCCCTTAGCATGTTGCTCATACAGAGCTTGATTTTCATTCTTGTTTGCTTCCCTTAAAAAGCTTTGGAATCCACTTGGCCATGTCTCAGGGGAAGGCGGAAGCCTAACTGCAGGCAGGTTACAAGCCCAATGGAAGCGGTGTTGGCACAGCCCTGCGGAGGAGGCCGTGGAGCACTTGCCTCCAGCTGACAGTAAGGGCTCTTTACACCAGGCCAGCTGACTCTGCACTGGGGCAGATGGTAAACAGTCACATGAACTTTTCCACCAACTGAGCTGTGGGGTTGCAACAAGCAGCCCCAGGGCAGAAGTATCTGATGCTGCTGTTTCTGTAGTGAACATCGAACCGCAGCCCCAGACTAAATCCAGATGGAGCTAGGGATATCCACTCGTAATTTCAGCGAATGTTGAATTTACTCAAGTTAGCTGGGCAAGCTGTCAGCTTGTGTCAGTCATTCCAGCTCCCTGGAGAGTGAAATTCAGCTCTCTAGAATTAGCTGAAAAACTTCCCGATAAACTGTTTTTTCTTTTGGAAAAGAAAGATTGCTAAAATATTCCATGGCAACGGGTTGATTTTAATTTGTTTTATTTTGTTAGGATACTTAAAATTGGGATGAGAGCTGTGGATTTGAAACAACCTGAATGAAATTGCATACAAGCAAGCTTACTAGCTTAGTAGGGAAACTGTTCCAGCTGAGCCAAGCATTCATTAAGCTGAATCCTCAGTTTAATTTGTGGTGTACTGACAGGCCATTCAGCCTCATCATGCTGTTGCCTTGACTGTGAACTGTGACGAGTCCAAAGGTGGACTTAGCATTATAGAGAACGCTGACCTCCAAAGGTGTTAAGGATACAGGCCTGTGTACTGGGCACCTGCAGATATTGCAGGGAATGGAAGTGGCATCTGGTGCCAAGATAGAGCTTGGTTTGGAATGACTCTGGGCTTTCTGGGTTAACATTTGTTTTTACACCGTCAGAATTAAACAGAATTATCATATTCTGGCAATGTGATGAGTGTGAACCGTGAAGGGTCAGTATAGTTTTATGGGTGTGACTGTGTTGGAACGTAGGACACCTTAACCTTGCTCTGCTGTGCTCTGCATTACTGTGTTGTGTGGAGTTGTTTCTGCTGCGTTGCTGCTGCTTGGGGTTGTCTCTGTGTCGTGGTTTAACTCTGGC